ATGACCTCCCCCGCCCACCCGGGAGCCCCTGCCCGCCGCCAGCCCAGACTGGGGGGGAGGGAGCCCCGCAGCCCCCCCCCCTCCCCGGCTCCCTCGCCCGCCCGTCAGCTGCTCCAGGCTTCCAGAGGTAGTTCACCTGGGGACAAAGGGCTCTGAAGTCGCAGAAATCTTAGTGACCTTGGGCGAGTCACCAGCTTCCCTGAGGTTCCCCTGATCTCTGCAAACGCGATGGGCGTCGCGGTAACGAGAACCTCGCTCCCTGTGAGGGTTCGACCCTGAACGTGCCTGCCCTCGAGGAAGTGAAGGCAGGAGGGGTAAAAGCATGAGTGGGAAGAACCCAGGTCACGAGAGGACTTGGGGAGCGCGCGGAGAAGGTCCTCGCGGGTGTCCCGAGGCCAGCGCCCTAAGCGGCCGGAGGCTCGGCCCCGTCTTGGCGGGAAGTCCTTTCTGCTGACTTGGTTGTAACAAGATGCGTAGGACGCGAATCCATTCCGGGTCAGGGTGGCTGACCCGCCTGCTGAAGACTGGCCTCCCAACTTAAAATTTTTCTGATTTCATGACTTTAATCACGTCTTCCTCCAGGGCCTGCGTATAGTCACGGAGATAGAGTAGCTTGTGTGCTTGTATTGAAAAGAAAGTTGGTAACCTTTACGTAATATTCGGGCATGGCAAATAGGTAGTCATCCCCCCGCGCCCGCCCCACTGCCAAATCACTGAGCATTTATATAGTTCTGCCTTCAGAACTCCATTGCGAATTGTGATCTCAGCCTCCTCTTTTTTATTGTCCCAAAGTTAGTACTAAGACCTGGGTTTACTTTCCCTCCATCTCCTTTATTGCTTCTCATGTTTCTCTTTAAAAAAGTAAAAATCTTTACTTCTGTCTTCTGCTTTTCCTCCCTTTTCTCTTCCCAGCGTCTTATTCCTTTTCCCCTAATTATCCCAATAGGAATAGTTTATAATTATTTTATACCAGAACCATAATTATCAATCTTGACAGAACGGAGCAAAGAAGTGTGTGTGTGTGTGTGTGTGTGTGTGTGTGTGTGTGTATTTTTTTTTCTTTTCAAATTTTGGGTTCCAGGCACTTGGAGTTGTAAAGAGATTGCAATACCTACTCTACTTCATGGAATTATACTGAGAGTGAAATACAGTTTGACAACTTACGTAAAGCTTCTAGTATAAGTGCCCGGCATATAATAACCACCCAGTGAATTACAGCTGCTGTAACTGTCTTCTGACCTGGCGATCCCCAGAGTCCCCACCCCACCAACACCTCTGCCTCGGTTTCTGCTGTTCTGTGTAGCATGGTGGTGAGAGATGCGGGCTTTAGAGAGGAACTTGCTTAGGTTCAAATTCGTGTTCTACCACCTTAACTTAGGTGTTCTCTCTGACTCAGGTTCTTCATCTGTAAAATGAAGGTAAGTTATACTATCTCAGGGTTGTTCTGAGGATTCAATAAGTTAATAGTATGGAGCACTGAGAACAGGGCCAGGCACGTCATTAGCACTCAGTAAAGTTATATATATTAGTAAAATATACTAATAATGATACCAATAATTATCTTCCTGACCTAGAATTTCCTTTACTTTTTAATCTCTTGAAAACAATTTGAATGTATTGCAAAAATGATAACTGTACAGTGAAATTTGCCCCTGAGCACCTCCAGATCGTTTTTCCTCCCGCCTCTTGCCCTTGACTGATGTTGGTGCCTCGTTGTACCATTACCCCCTTGATCACTGCGTCTCTGAGTATCCCCTAGCCTGGGGTCTTCATAGCTTCCATCGCCCGGCTTCTTCGTTATTACCCACTTGGTTGATATTCTCTTAGCATCCTAATTCCAGACTCTCCCTCCTTATCGTTCTCCCAAACCAGATTCCGGCTCCCTCTTCACCCTCCCTCAGTTCCCTGCTTCCAGAGAGGAAAGAAACCCTTGCTGGCAGAAGGGCTTTGCCATAAACAATAGTATCGCCTCTCTGCTCTTCCCCTCTCCTTATGTTGGGTTTTCTCTTCTACTTCTCTTTTCACCAGTTAAGCCCAATCCTACAATTTAAAAAACAAACAGTAAAAAGATGTCTTTTTTGCTACATTGGTATCAAAAAGGGTTCAGAAACAGGACACAATCTTAAATGAAAACAAGCTATCCATTATTATTTTTAAAATTCTAATCATCAAGAAACAACAGATCAGGATTTATATTTATTCTTTCTCACAGAACTTTTATAAGGAAAATACAGAAAAGTTGGTCTCACTTCCCAGTGGAGAAATTCATCATAGTGTCATGATCTTCACTATTTGTCCATTGAGAATATGGAAGAGGTTATCCTCTTCCTTCATGAAGGACACCAGTTAGTTGTATGGATCTCCTCAGGACTGAAATTTGCCTGACACTCACTGGCACAACCATACCTGTTATTGAATGCTGAGAGGCTTCTCTGTTGGGTGGTCCATAGCTGCTTTTTGGAGCCCCCAGCAATCCCTCTCTGACCTGGCCCCTTCTGCACCCCATGATCCAGCACTTAAAGGGTTAACCTCTGGCACAGCTGGAGGCCTCTGGGACCTAGTTTGACCTGGCAGTTAAATATTCTGAACATCACCCCTGGACTTCCCCAGTGCCATTGGTGATTCCTAAAATGCTGGATTAGAGCAAATACTTTTTGGTTGTCAAGAGCATTGCATCAGTCTCCAGGGAGCAACTTAAGCTGTCCCACTTGAAAAATATCTTTGGAAGCATGGTGGGCACCAGGCCACTCAGGGCTTTGGGATTTGAAATAACAGAACGTACTTTAAATCTCACTGCAAAATAGAAAGAAAAAAAAAGGTTAAGAAAAAGGAGCAAGAAGAAAAACAAGTTATTTTTTCAAAGTAGAGGCTGTTTTCTCATCTTTTTACCCATAGCACCTAGCATCAAGCTGGCATATAGTATGCACATGATAAATGTAAATTGAGTGAATAAATGCATGAGTGGGTGCATACCTCCTGCTTCATGAGAATATTCCTTTTGGAATAATGATAACTCACATTTACATAGCAATTTAGAGTTTACAAAGTGGTCGCTTTGCACCTTGTAAATCTCAAATATAATTTTGATAACCCTTCATTACTTTCATTTTTCCCTTCAAATGTGGTCTTACACAAAGTTTTTTCCAAAGGAGGGTATGGCGTTGGCCAAGAAATCACAAGCAGGGAGAAGAAATTATAAATACTGGGAAATAAAGGATTCTTCCTAGGGAAAGAAATAGGATTTGTTGATGATTTGTGGGGGTTGTGTAAAGGGCCACAGTATCCTTCAGCAGTACCCTCTGCTTATACTTGAAGCACGTGCTGTTTCTCGCCTCAGTCCTGCTGCAGAGACCTGCTCCCTTCCTAGCAGTGTCTGTCCCCTGGTCCTTGTCCCTCACCTTTCACCCAGCCGGCCCCTCACCAAGATTCCCTGCAGCCTCTCTCAGCCTCCACCAGGGGCTGCATTAGGCTCCCCTTCTCTTACTTCCACAGCACCCTGCTGTCATGATTTTCCACATTAGGCTGTCATTACGAAGGCTGATCTCTAACTAGATTGCGATCTCTAGCGAGAGGTTGTGTTTTTGTATCTCCAGTGCCTGGTACAAGAGCGTTTCTGAAAGGAACATCTGCACACCCTTCCATCAGAATCTAAATGGGTGAGGCCCAGGAATCTGCTCTTTTTAACCGGCTCTCCAGGAGATGCTTAAACTAATTTGAAAACCACTGCATCATAAAACCTAAAATTAGCGGGATGAACGTATTTTTTGAGGTGTTTGTGTCTTGTGTGTGCTGGGCTTTGAGAGGAGAAATGCTGTCTGTGCTGAAAGCTTCTAGTGCTTTTGTCAAAGGTCATGAGGTCACTCTGTCCTCTGCATTAATTCCTTTCTGTTTCTGGGTATGCATTTTTGTGCGCAGGCTTTTCTGCCCTGGGTCTCTCTTGTCACATACCGCTCATCTGTGAGTTGAGGCCCTGACTCCCTTCCCACAGAAGGAAAAGTCCTTTCTCTCTGAAGATGAACTCAACGGACCACCTTCAGGACTCTCCCAACACCACCTCGCTCCATGTGCCTCACTCCCAGGAAGGAAACAGCACTGCTGTCCAGGAGAATCTGCAGGATTTCATCCACACGGCCACTTTGGTGACCTGTACTTTCCTTCTTGCCGTCATCTTCTGCCTGGGCTCTTACGGCAACTTCATTGTCTTCTTGTCCTTCTTTGATCCAGCCTTCAGGAAATTCAGAACCAACTTTGATTTCATGATCCTGAACCTATCCTTCTGTGACCTCTTCATCTGTGGAGTCACAGCCCCCATGTTCACCTTTGTATTATACTTCAGCTCAGTCAGCAGCATACCGGATGCTTTCTGCTTCACCTTCCATCTCACCAGTTCTGGCTTTATCATCATGTCCCTCAAGACGGTGGCCGTGATTGCCCTGCACCGGCTCCGTATGGTGCTTGGGAAGCAGCCTAACCGCACGGCCTCCTTTCCCTGCACCTTGCTCCTCACTCTGCTTCTCTGGGCCACCAGTTTCACCCTCGCCACCCTGGCCACCTTGAAAACCAGCAAGTCTCACCTCTGCCTCCCCATGTCCAGCCTGATTGCTGGAGAAGGGAAAGCCGTTCTGTCTCTCTATGTGGTCGACTTCACCTTTTGTGTTGCTGTGGTCTCTGTCTCTTACATCATGATTGCTCAGACCCTGCGGAAAAATGCTCAAGTCCGAAAGTGCCCCCCTGTAATTACAGTTGATGCTTCCAGACCACAGCCTTTCATGGGGGCACCTGTGAAGGGAGGTGGAGATCCTATCCAGTGCACCATGCCTGCCCTATACAGGAACCAGAATTACAACAAGCTGCAGCATGTTCAGACCCATGGCTACACCAAGAGTCCCAGCCAGCTGCCCACCCCTGCAGCCAGCCGGCTCCAGCTGATATCAGCTGTCAATCTCTCCACGGTTAAGGATTCCAAGGCGGTGGTCACCTGCGTGATCATCGTGCTGTCGGTTCTGGTGTGCTGTCTTCCACTGGGGATTTCCTTGGTGCAGGTCATTCTATCCAGCAATGGGAGTTTCATCCTTTACCAGTTTGAACTGTTTGGATTTACCCTTATATTTTTCAAGTCGGGATTAAACCCTTTTATATATTCTCGGAACAGTACAGGGCTGAGAAGGAAAGTGCTCTGGTGCCTCCAATACATAGGCCTGGGTTTTTTCTGTTGCAAACAGAAGACTCGACTTCGAGCCATGGGAAAAGGGAACCTTGAAGTCAACAGAAACAAATCCTCCCATCATGAAACAAACTCTGCCTACATGTTGTCGCCCAAGCCTCAGAAGAAATTTGTGGACCAGGCTTGTGGCCCAAGTCATTCGAAGGAAAGTGTGGTCAGTCCCAAGATCTCGGCTGGACAGCAACACTATGGTCAGAGCAGCTCAACCCCCATCAACACTCGGATTGAACCATACTACAGCATCTATAACAGCAGCCCATCCCAGGAAGAGAGCATCTGTAATTTACAGCCAGTAAACTCTTTTAAAGGATTTGCCAATTCATACATTGCCATGCATTATCACACCACTAATGATTTAATGCAAGAATATGACAGCACTTCAACTAGGCAGATCCCAGTCCCTTCTGTTTAGAGTCTTGGAGGCTGGAAAATGATGTGTAAACTGCTTTTGTTTCTGATACTAATTGATGGGCTTTTGGGTTTTGTTTTGTTCACTTTTGTGAGACCAGTACTAGATCAAAACTTAAAGATTCAGCTGAACAGTTGGCAGTTGTGATTTTCTTTTGCCTGAAGTACTAGCATCTATTGATTTCTTTGCGGCTTCTTAACATTTTGAGATTTGATGTAAAAGGTTATTTAGATTTTTACCCTGACCTGTGCTCCAATCTCTTGTACTAAATTTTTAAATAAATGCCTAGGAATGATCCTGCTACTATGTTAAAGTAGAGAATGAACTGATTATGATCATTTGAGTCAGTGTTATGGGTCTTCAACGTATATGTGAGCTGGAATTTTTAAAGAATGCGAAGGTATGATCTTTACTGAGGTGTTATTTTTATTAATTTAATTATAAATTTTAATTCTTTGAAGTGTTGAAATGGGGAACAATACACTTTTTTTGGAAGCAGGCTAATTTGAGTAAATATATTGTTAAAGCAGAAAATCAGAAATGTATATTATCTATAGTTATTTTTACCAAAAATCCACAAATATTAGATACTTTCCCTTTCATAAGACAGTCAACCAAGAATATGGTATTATGATTACTACCATTTCTTATTATAGATATTATTATTTTGTGTCAATTGAGTAGCTCTATAGTTCTTTTAAAAAGAAAGATGTTTTTGCTTGGTAAAAGTGAATTATTCTATTTTGGAGTATTCTATCCTAGTGAAGAGGACTGCATTTATGGCAGAGGTATGCTATTCTTGGGAGAGTCGGTGCTAAATGTGGTCATCTCAGTCAGGGTGTTATTATGTGGGAAGCAATCTAGACTGCTATGTGTTAGACGATCTTTATTATTAAGAAGGCACAAGGATGAGATTGGGATGTTTTGATTTATGCTTTCCTTCTGTGTAAGAATGGTTTGTTAACAACTTGACAAAGAGTATCCAAGTAACTATATAGATATTTTTTTTGTCTTTCTTTATATGTTACTGTGATAGAAAAATTCTTAAGATGATCTATTTTCAAACTAATTGTGTTATTTCTCTCCCATTAATCTTAAACTGGAGGTGGGCAGTAGGAAAACTAGATTAAGTATTTCTCTACCTAAAACTAATTTTATTATATATGCTGTGATTCCTAGCATAACAAATGTAAACTCACATTTTTATGTAAAAATATTTTCATCATACAGTTAGCATTTGAACTTGTTACAGTTTTTTAACTATATCTGCTAGACACAAGATGAGCATCAAGATACAAAACCTATCTTTATAAATTGTTATATTCAAGAACAGTTATTGCAGATTGGAAGGCACTTTGTTCTTTTGGATGAAAGGTATTCAATTTATAGCACCCTCCCACCCCCATGCTGTTCCCACGTACAGAGGTCATGAGAGGCATGGAGAAGATACAGTAGAGACTCAGCTAGAACTCTGTTCAGCCTCATCTAACAGCTCTTACCTTTCGGTATCAATCAGTCATTTCTATTTCTGAGATTGAAGTATGAGATATGGGTTTCATTTTATTTTTAAATTCACCTTTTAGGACTCCTTCTCCCCTTCCCTTTCTCCCTTTATTTTTGCTATTAAATTTTATAATAGAACAGAAAATATCCACTCTTTCACATTTCTTTTGTAATTGAATGCTATTTTTGGAAGTCACTATTACTAGTTTCAATTGTAATTTTATATTTTTAATATAACACTGTTTTCATTCATTAATACTCCCATGAGATAGGTTAGTGTATTACCTCTTTTGAAACTAAGAATTAAGAAATCTAATAACCTCTCTCAAGATTATTTGATGAATTGTGGCACTTGAGGAATTAGACTTTAGTCTAAATTCAGAGCTTGGTATTTATTCCAATAAGACAAACAGCTTTATAATTAATAACATCAATCAAGACAATATTTCAAACTTTTTAAAGTATGTATCTCTTTTTTGGCCAGGCATTTCAAATGTGATTCAATAAAAGTTTTTTTAAAATGTAATTTATACTTGTAATATTAAAAGTGACAGGTTTCCTGTGTGACCTTTGAGATGACTTGACCCATCCTTGGGAGGTGAAATTTATAGCATTAAGAAAACTAAGCATGTGCATATGAGGTATTCAGTCTCTTTATGCTCACTCATCAAGAAATTATTGATTTAACTTGCATGAAAGATATAGTGGGCTAGATTCTTAGCCCTTCTCTGTATCTAAATGTACATATAGTTAGATGTATATAACTTCTCTCTTCATAAGGGCTAAAATGAGAACTAAAAGTAATGAGAATCCAATTGAATATGACTAATTAGCAGGGTATATTAGTTCTGTTGATGCTTTACTGTGATGCAAAGTGTGTATGTCAAACATTTTATAATTGTTCTGATGTTAACCATTAGGCCAGATTTGTATTTCTGATGCTTTTAATGTTCTTTTAAAATAATGTTTGGAAAATAAAAATTGAAAATCCTAACATTTCTGAACATCAGATTGCAATACTATGACTTTCATGTCTAATCATTTAAAAACTACCAGAGAACAGTAGTGTTATTGCACAATGGATAACAACATGGTGAAGCTCAGAGAGAGTTATTTTCCTTAAGAGATGAAATAACTGGGGGGGGAAAAAAAAAAAAAGAGATGAAATAACTTTTTTGACCACATTTTGTAGCATGCACGAATACTCAGACTAACCAAGAATAACTCCAAATGTTAATTATTTACTAAATTAAATTTCTCACTCAGCAGGAAAAATCCTGACTAAACATTTCAAAAACTTCTTTAAAATGAGGTTAATTTGAAAAAAGATACAAAATTTTGGAATTTTTAGTGTATCAATCAGAGTTTGTTTTTCAGAATCAGAAAACATTAAGCAGAAAAGGATCGAATATAGGAAATTAGATATCTACTAAATCATTAGAACATCAGGGCTCTATGGCGGGTTTTTTAAGAAAGATTCCAAATAAACACTATCAGCCTGACCAACCAGGAGAGCTATTACTTCTGCTACAACTAAGAAAGGGGAAGTCAAGAGGCCTGTAAATTACCCAGAGATCAGGAACTTGCTGCCACTACTACTACCACCTCTACAATCAATCCTCTTGAGACCTCCAAAGCAAGTGGCTGAACAGAAAACACTGCTGCAGAAAAAAATTTGGCATATGTGTTTGTTTATTTGGTGGAACCCAATTTGCATGTAAAACCCTAGCTGCCCACAAATCTGGAAAGTGTAGTTACGCTAAAACTGTAACCTAAAGGAGGTTTGGAACAGATACTTTAGTTCCAATCTTATCTGTCGACAATGTTCCTCCTTTCTTGTACTCAACATATTTTTTTAAGTATATTTTTATAGCCCTCTAGACAGTTCTCATGGATTCTTTTTTTTTTTCTTAAGATTTTATTGGGGAATTGGGGGAGGGGAAAAGCATTGGGGAATTGGGGAAGGGGAACAGACAAGTTGCTGTCCTTTTATTCTTCAGTCTAGTTGTGGAGGACATCGCTTCACTGGCTCATGTTGGTATTATCATCGCACTCTTCCCGGGTGAGGCAGTCGCTCGCCGACCATTGGACGGCTGCTCACAGCGGCTTACAGCAACTCATGAAAGCTCACGCCCACTCCTGGCCAGCCCCATTGCAGCCTACGCCATCGCGGGCGACTCACAGCAGCCCAGTTCCAGGTCGAGCTGTTGTCACCAACTTAGCTGTAGAGGGCGCAGCGTCACTGGCCCTCATGTGGGATCCGAACCGAGGCCCTGCTGCTCAGAGCTGGCGTCCCAAGCCAACTCCTAACCAACACGCCACTCGGCCAGCCTCTGGTACTCAACATTTGTATCCACACCTCTAGCCATTCTTCCAAACAACGGCAACAGAAACAAGACCATTCTCCCACTTGAAATAATGCAGTCATTTCTCTCATTTAAACAAAAACAGGCCTTCTCTTTTCCAGACTGGCTGTTTTTATTGTCTTCTTCTGGATCTTTGGTGTTCTGCAGTTTTAATGTGATATGTGTCTTTCTTTTTTATCTTGGGATTTGTTGGACTCTTTGAATCTATGTTCTGGTATCTTTCATCAGTTGTGGACAATTCTCAGCCATTATCTTTTCAAATATTGCTTAAGCCCCATTTTCTCTATTCTTTCCTTACCTTGGCTCTCACTTTTTCTGTCTTTGTTTCTCTGTTATACAGTGATACACCACAACAATGATTTCATCAACAGCAGACCGTATATACAATGGTGGGTCCATGAAATTGTAATGGAGCTGAAAAATTCCTATTGCCTCCTGATGTAGCCATCATAATGTTACTGCATAACTTACTTGTTTGTGGTGATGCTGGTGTAAACAAACCTATGCTGCTAGTCATATAAAAATGTAACACATACAATTATGTACAGTACATAATGCATGATAATGATAATTATGTTATTGGTTTATGTACTTACTATACTTAATCATTATTTTAGAGTGTACTTTTTCTCCTTATGAAAAAAGTTTGCTGTAAAACAGTATGCCATGTTATGCTGCAGCAGTTTCATACATCTCATGTTTATCATGTCTTTTGACTGCATCATTTTCTCTTGTGCTTGATTTAATCTCATGTTATTTTATTCACCGAGGCCCTTAAGTGTACAAAATTCACTCCTAATGTTGCCAGTAAGAGGCAACGTTAAGTGATTGACCTGGAAACAAAATTAAAAGTGATTAAGGACTTCGAAGGTGGAAAATCAGTGATGATTATTGCTCACCAGTCAGGTATGTTCCATTCCACCAGAGCTATGAGTCTAAAGAACAAGAATAAAGTGACAGAAGTTGTTACAGTATCTGCTTCATTGAAGGCAACATAACTAACAAAAATTTGAGCAGGCCTTATATCAGACACGGAGAAAGTTCTAATGACCTGGATTGAAGGCCAGACACAGAAGTGTATCTCAGCACCATGACGATCACGGCCAAAGCAAAACTATGATTGCCTTCTTGAAAGAAAAGGCTGGATCCAACTACAATGTTGAATTTACTGCTAGCTCTGTGTGGTTTAAATGAATCAAGAATTGTTATTTATTAACAAATGTGAAAGTGAGGGGCGAGTGCTGATGTGAAGGCAGCTGAATAATTTTTGAAAACTCTAGGTAAGCTGACTTTGGAAGAAAATTACTTTCCAGAGCAAATATTCAGTATGGATGGAACTTTCCTATTCTGGAAACGGATGCCTGAAAGAATTTTCATCCATAAGGAGGCCAAATCAATGGATGGTTTCAAGACTTTTAAGGACAGGATAACAGTCTTGCTTGGGGGCAGTGTTGCAGGCTACACATTGAAACCCTTTGTGATCTGGTACAGGGAGAACCCAAGGCCTTCAAGCATATCAATAAGCACACACTTCCAGTGCACTACAGAAGCAATAAGAAGTCATGGATGACCCAGCTTCTCTTCCAAAATGCCTTCCTGAATTGCTATGCCAGTGAAATGGAGCAATACTGTTTTGAGAATAACATACCTTTCAAGAGTTTGCTTATTGTTGATAATGCTCCTGGACACCCTCCTTTGATTGGTGATCTTCATTCCAAGATTAAAGTGGTGTTTCTCCCTCCAAACACGACTTCTTTGATCCAACCACTGGATCAAGGAGTTATAGCAGCTTTTAAGGCCTATCACCTGAGGAGGACCTTTGCCAAGGCTATTGCTGCAACTGAGGGAGACACTGAGAAGAGAGTGGTGAAATTCTGGAAGGATTACAACATCTATGACTACATGAAGAACCTTGATGTAGGCTTGGGGCGATGTCACCAAGGCATGTATGAATGGCATCTGGAAGAAGACACTCAAGAGGTTCATCCATGACTTAAGAGAATTTGCCAAGGATGCAGAGGTTGCAAAAATCAAGAGGGCTGTGGTTAAAATTCAAACAAGGCAAACAACTTTAACTGGGGTATAGATGAGGATGACACTGAGAAGCTCACAGAGGTGGTTCCTGAGGTATTAACTAATGATGAGTTGTTAGAACTGGAACAGGAATGTATAGCTGAAGAAGAGGCAAGAGAAAAGGAAACTGCAGGAGAAGGAAAAGAACCCCTCCAGAAAATCAGTTAGAGGTTTGGCAGAAGCTTCTGCAGGCCTCAACAAGCTTCTTGAAAAGTTGAAAACATGGATCCCCAACACCAAAAGGTTTTCATTAGTAGAGTTAATGAAATGTTAATGGAATGTTTATGGTGCATTATCTGCTTACAAGCAAATCTATGATGAAAAAAAAGAAGCAAACCAAACAAACCACCATGGACATATTTCTGAAAAGAGTGACACCTCCTCAAGAAGAGCCTCAGGCAGGTCCTTCAGGAGGTATTCTAGAAGAAGGTGTTGTTATCATCGGAGATGACCGGTCTATGTGTGTTATTGTCCCTGAAGACATTCCAGTGGGACAAGATATAGAAGTTAAAGATAGTGATATTGATGATCCTGACCCCGTGTAGGCCTAGGCTAATGTATGTGCTTGTGGCTTAGTTTTTATTTTCTGTGTGTGTGTGTGTGTGTGTGTGTGTGTGTTAGTTTTTAACAAAAAAGTTTAGAAAGTAAAAAAAA